GGAGGAGGGGCGACCACGGCCGTTGCGCTTCGTCCTTCTGAGGAGGCCGTGGCTGGGGCCGGCTTTTTAGAGGCAACTCGGTCTTTTTGCTGGTGTGCTCAACAGCTCAGTGAGAGCCAGATGTGCTCCTGCCCCAACCGTGCAGTCATCATTCATCAAGATTGGGATCGGCATGGTCTGAGTTGCGTCGTCTGGCCCGCCGCTCAGAGCCTTGCACAGCATTTGATCCCCCTCCTGCAACGGGGAGACCATGTTCTCGAACTTGGTCAGTCGGCTCGCCTCCTCCCACCTTGACTCACTGAGCCGGTTGCAAGCTTGGGCTTTAGAGGCCTGGCCATCAGAGTCTCGGCTACATGCGCGTGTGTATCTGACCCTGGCTTTTTACTCGCCAGGAGCTGGTCCAGGCCTGGTCGCACTGGCAGCCGCCACCTGGGTTCCGGGCGTGACAGCCACCGTCACCGACCGCGCCGCCGCCCTGGCCTGTCCAGCCAGCAACGTCAACCCCAACGGCCTTGCCTCCCATCTAACCGTCTCCGTCCTCGATTGGTAAAGCCCTGACGGCCTGCTTTGCCTGCATTACCCCAATGCCACAACGCTCACCCCCAGTTTGTTTGTTGGTGACACAGGCTCGCCCCGGCCAACTTTTCAGGAGCAGTGCCGCCGACCCACATCGTAGCAGCCGATGTGGTGTACGAGGAAACGCTATTTGAGCCCTTGCTCCAGACCTTTCAACACCTAATGTACGCTCTTTGGGTTGCTGCCCCTCTCGGTTGTTGGCAGCCTCTTGCCTCGGTTGTCATGGAACCCTGACCTCAACTCCTGGCCCTTCCTTGGCCATTTTATCGCCTTTCTTTTTTTTTTCTTCTTCTCTCTCTCGCTCTCTCGCTCTCTCTTGTTGCTTTGGTCAGGCGCACCTTTCCGTCTGCGCAAGTGTATCTGGCGGCGCAAATCCGGTATCGAGCTCGCTTTCGCGCTTTTCTGCGTCAGCTGCGCCGGGCCGACCTCGAAGCACACCTGTGGCAAGTCGACACGCAGCGCGATTGCCATCTCTATACTATCCATGACCAGACATACGATCGGGGCGAGCTCTAGACCGGATGGATGGCGCACAGCTGCCCGATGTGCGTGCGCACGCGGGTGCAGACATGTGAGGCAAATTAAGACTGTTTTCGCATAAATTGGGAAGTGGCTAAACTTCTTCGTTGTAGTGAGATTTTGGTCTGGCTCAGTACACAATGCCAAAGCCAACCGACAGGCAAACACAGCGACAACACCGTGTTCAGACGTGGCAAAGGAAGGAGAGGGATTGGAAGAAAGTGGGCAGGAAAGTGGAAAAGAGGTGCAAACAAAGAGGAGGGGGGGGGGGTGAACAAACACGTCGAGGGATCGTACAGCCCCGAAGTGAAAACGGCCATGATCAAGGCGAGCTACGCATGGCCCAGCCAGACCAACGAAAGAATCGCCTCGGACCCTCTGTCAAGGCTAGCCTCGGAACAGAAAGGTGTGCAAAGCAGACATCATGGCGGTGAAAAGTGAGGCAAATACAGCCTGCGGTGATGCTGCTTAATCCAGGGCAGCAGCACCCGAGATAATCTCGATAAGCTCGCGCGTAATGACGGCCTGACGAGTGCGGTTGAAGGTAAGGGTAAGGCTGTGGATCATGTCACCGGCGTTCTTGCTGGCGTTCTCCATGGCCGTCATACGAGCGCTCTGCTCGGCGGCCTGGCCCTGGAGCATGGCGAAGAAAATGTTGGACGCCAGGTTGAACTCCTGGTAGCAGCGGAGGGTCTCGGCATCAAGGTCATCATAGACATCGAGGGCCTCCTGGCCCTCAAGAGAGCCCATGCCAGGGAGGGTGACGGTCTGCACCGTGTAGGAGACGGCCGAGTTGAACTTGTTGAAGAGGATGGCAATCTGATCGGGCTGCACATCCGAGGCCAGAACCTGCTGGGCGAAGAACGAGGCCTCGTTGAAGGTGGGGGGCAGACGGCCAACCTCGTTGGCGCTACCGTAGATAAGCTTGGGCATGAAACGGCTCAAGATACCACGGGTCTTGTCACCCACGGTGATAATCTTGACATCAGTACCAGCGGGCTGGTCCTGGACCAGGAAGCGAACAGCCTTGGACAGACCCGAGTGGATACCACCGCAGAGACCACGGTCCGAGGAGACGGGGATGACCAGCTGTGCACCGCAAGGCCAGAGAGGGGGCGCGCGAAAAAAAAGGAAACAACGAGACGAAGCGACGTGAGATGTCATGCAAACACAACCGCATCACGGGCGTGGTGACCACGCCCACCACAAGTCATCGAGCCGATGCTGGCCATGCTGCGTGAAACTTCAAAGACCTACCAGCTTCTCTCCGGGCTGGGCCTCGATGCCAGCCTTGTCCTTCAGCACTGTGAAAAGAGAAACGCGCAGAAGCCAATCCAAGACCAATCAACGCAGGGGTCAGTGTTTGCCAGCAACAGAAAGAAGGAAAAAAAACATCAGCGCATTAGCACTTTGCCGCCGCAGGGCCTCTCGTAGAATGTCATCAGGTCCCCAGCGGCATCAAGATAAAAGAAAGCTCAAGGAAGGGTGCGCCATTCTGCACAGGAACGAGATTGGCAGTGAAGTCAACGCACCGGAGGAGGCGGGACCAAAAGCGGTAGCAGCCTTGAGGTTCTGCTCAGCGCGTTTGAACTTGGCGGACGACACCATCTTCATCGACTTGGTAATCTTCTGAATGTTTGTGACCGACTTGAGACGCAGTTGAACTAAACAAGAAGACAAGCCATGGCGAGGAAAGTCGAGCAACACAAGGCAGTACAGCAGAACGAGAGAGCAACAAGAATCAGTTCAAGGACGTAGAAGCAAGACTCAATCGCCCCTGTCCCCTGGCAAGCTGAGACGTCTATTGTTGTCAAGGGAGCAGGCACACTCGCACTCGCACAGTCGAGCCCCAGGGTGCTCGCTAGCTAAAGCCTTGCGCAGAGGCGGCGGGGGCGGCGGGGCGGCAGCAACTCACTCTGCTTCAGGGTGGCCATGCCACGGGCACCAGCAGGCGCCGCAGCGCTGCTGCTCAAAGGTAACCAGACAAAAGAGCAACATTGATGCAGTGAGAACTGATGAGAGAGCAGTGGCTTTGCCAACACTGTCTGTCGCGCAAGACCAAAAGAGGCACACGACCATGTGCCGCACAAACGGCAGTCTTCAGTACCTGGTCTGGCGCAGGACGTTCATCATCTTGTACGGTGACGACGAAAGGAAGGACAATCTGGCAAGAAGGAGTGAGCAACCGAGATGGATGAGACACACGCAGTTTCTCGAATGCATTTGAACGCCAGTTCCAACGGCTGCCCTTTTGCCCAGCAGCGCGCGCGCTCACAGAGACGACAGAGCCCAGAGACAGGGACGAGAGACAAAGACAGAGACGGAGGTAGAGGTAGAGACGGAGGTAGAGACGGAGACAGAGGCAGAGGCATAGACGGGAACAGAGACACACTCAGAGAATGGACGCGAGAGCGTCACACGTACAGAAGAAACACAGAGGGAGACACAGAGATAGAGATCGAGGCAGAGACAGAGGCAGAGACAGAGACAAAGGCAGAGACAGAGACAGAGAGAGACACACGGACACAGAATAGTCAGAGAGAAAGAGAACGCACAGTGACATTCAAAAGACAAAAGAAATCAGAGAGACGAAGAGACATCGACGACAACCAGTCGGAATGACAGGGTAAACGCAAAGCAAGTCAGAGATGTGGCACAAGTTGAGACGGAGCACAGAGACGGCCTTTGTCTACCAACCAAACAGGACGGGAAAAAGTGCGAGAGCAAGGGTGGCCACAGAGAGAGATGCTACAGTGTTAACCCAGTGTGTGTGTTGGAGAATTGAACTTTTCCTTCTTCAGAACTCGTTTGTTTTTTTACCCTCCCATTGCCAAATGCTCGCTACCAGCTGTTGGCCTCCACCCTAGAACCGTTTTCGCTAAAGTGTGACGTTGTGTAGACTTTATGTTGTTTCCCGCTCGGGTTTGAAAACGTTCCAACATCCCCCCTTGTATTTTTTTGGTTCCTCAAGTGTCCGTGCTGCGCGAGACCGTGCACGCCAACTCCAGCGGTGGGCTACGAAGCAACATTGAAATGGCGGGTATGATGCCAGCGGCCAGCTACCTGAGAAGCGGGAAAGATCGGCCCGGGGTCAACAGATGCCATCATACTGCCCTCATGCCGTGGGGCATCCTGTGTAGAGCATGCGAGCATGACCATGGAGAGCGCCTTGTCCGGGCTGGAGGCCCTCTTCCACAAGGCGCAATCCGACATCAACTATGCGTCTCACCGCCTGGACTACGAGTTCAACGAGGTGGTGGCCCCCCACGGCCTTCCCAAGGTTGGTGCAGAGGAGGCACTTGCTGCCTTTGTCAGCCACAGGCCCGGTTTCTGATCTCCGTGACCTCACCATGACATAGCTAAACCCACTCCGCCTCATGCAACGGTACGAGGCCCTGCAAGCGCGTATGGAAGCCATCGAGCGACGCCACGAGGAAACGTCAACCCAGAAAACTGTGAGTGTCCTCCTTTGAACAAGGATACGTGATTTGTTTTTCTGGCCCTTGTACATGAAAAAAAAAAAAAAAAACTGGAACAGCAACCCGTTTGATTCGGCCCCATGGCAATGACAACCAGCTTATGTCTGAATGGGCATTGCAGGATTTGACACAACGATTGGCCCGACTGGCACTGGACAATCGCAGCATGCTGGCTGATCTGGAGCGCCGAGCAGCCGTACAACCCAACCCCAACCCACAGGATGATCAGCACCTGGTGGACCTCTGCCGTTTTGCCGGCTGTGAGGTCGCGCCCAACGCCACGGCTGCCGCTGTTCTGGAAGAGGCCCGTCCCACCACAGCCCCCGTCCCAGGCACAGTACCGGCTCAAAATTCCCACAATGCAACCTCTGACACGCGAAGCGACGGCTCGGGCAAGGAGAACACGACCACGCACAAGACCAAGCCCCCAGCCAAGACCCCGGCCGGGCCACACTATGAGCCCGTATCAGAGCCCGAGGTATGATTACGATTGCCAGAGAAGACTTGCCTCTACTGGGTCATAAATGGAGGTTCTTGACCCAGTGCCCAAGCCCGTTTCTAGCGCTGTTGAGGTCTCACGAAATGCTCGGCTTGGCTAGTTTGAGAATGTGTCCACACTGGTGCGCGGACGCTGCAAGCTGGCGGACATCAATCGGGTCTACGAGACGCTGGTCGAGTATTACGCCAAACAGATGGCTGCCACCAAGAAGCGTAAGAATCACAAGATTGAGCCCTTGACAACCTCTCAGCTAGTTGGCATGGGCCTCAAGATTACGGGCCAGACTGGCGAAGCCAAGCTCAAGGTAAACCCCTGCCCGGCGTACGGCTCGACGCCTTGCCTCGCCGGATTGCTCAAGTTCGGGCCGGGGCCTACCTGCTGCATGACCTAACCCATGTGCCCTTGACTGTGCTCGCTGCTCCCAGACGCTCAAGGCGTTGGGCATTGTCAACATCACCAAACAGGGGGTGACACTGGTTTTCTGAGTGAGTCGATCACCG